TTATATAAAGAAACAAATAGTACATGTAGAAAAATTGGGAAGTCACTTCAGGAAACAAATGAGGCTGTGTTAAAAATTTTACTACAGTAATACACAAAACACTTTTATTGCTCTACATAAACATCATACTTTCAGGAACAAAGAACTACCACTCTCTGGGTAATCTAACCCAAGCCAAACCTTCCATTGCTTACAACAGCTACAGTGCTGCCTGATAACATGCATTAACCCTACACACTCCCACCTTTACAATTTATGCTTCAAATTGTAAACTGATATAAATAACAAAAAAAATAAAATATACAATACAAAAATTTACAGGTTAAATCATTGATTTAATAACACTTAATAAACTGTTCAGCAAATGTTTTATGCTTCCTTTTTTAGTCTTGATAAGATCACTCGCTAATAACGTTTTTTTTTTTCTTCTCTTCCAGTTTTTGAAAACTTCTTTAGAGGACAATGAAGAATTATTCGTAACACAAGTTGTTACTTTTACTCCTCTCCTTGTATTTTTCTGACTAAGATCTGATTCTGAAGGGGATCTTTGGTTGACGACAGACCTGATATTATATCTTGTGATGCTCCTCGGAAGACTGTTTTGAGCTTGAGGTGTGACAGATGTTTTTACTCCAGAGGGTGATACAATGCGTGAAATTATTGTTTTAACTGGTACCGATCCGGTCTTCTTGGTATTGCCATCATCTAGACGACCCCTTAGTAAACTATTGTAATGGGTCGAAGATATTCCATGTTGCCCTGAATGGTGAGACTCACTCGCACTAGAATCAAAGCGCTGTAAAGGTCTCCCTCTCGTAGGTGTTCTTAGCAGGCCTTTGTTTTAGTTTGACCATTAACTGTCCAACCTAGCCTAGTTTCTGTGGCTATCAAATTTTCAGTTATTGGTTCTAACCTTCCTGTCAGGTTTTGTCCCATGACATCTGCTGTAAGAATTAACTCTGCTTGCAGATTGTCTCTCCCACCATCGCCATTTATATTATTTCTTCTTAATATCTCTAGGCATTCAATATTTGACCTAGGTATATCACTGTAAATTTTTATATTTTTCAACTTCGCTTTATCTGTTAAATTTTTAAGCTTGACATCATGCTCAACTTTTGTTTCAACATCCCCAAAAAGATCATATGAAAGTATTCCTTCCTTTTCTTTCTGTAATTTCTCACTTGAAGGACTGATAGTTGCTGAAATATCATCATCATGCCAAGTTTTATTTGAATGCTCAATTAAATCATCAAATTTACTTTTTATTTCTATCCACTTGTCCTGATAACTTATAGATGCATCGAATTCATCCTCCAGTTCTTTTTCATCAAGTATTAAAGCTCTTGATGTCTTGCTTCCAGATTTATACACTGACAGGTAAAAAAATTCCACCCACTTGATTTTTTCACGTTTACATCTAAAAATATTTCTGCTTTGGATTGGTCTATTGTTTTTAATGAATAAATATTACCCATCTTTTTGTTTGTTTTCTATTAGGAATGTTAATATAGAGAACAATAACCCTTAATCCTTAATTCAATGAAATGATTCTAGATTCCAATGTTTACTTTCTATGGAATCAAAATGTTTATTCAGTATCATTAGTTCAGTGCCGTTTCTTGCAGCACATTTCTTAGTCTCCGGCTTTTAATTTTTACAATATTAAGTTTAAAAATGACTCTTAGTACTGAGGATGTTGCGCGTGGTGTGGCACTTATTGATGATGGACGGTCCATTGGATATGCAGCTAATGCCATCGGAGTTCCATATGAAACTTTACGAGACGCCGTCAGGCGTTTTCGGGAAACTGGTTCTTACAATAGAAGGCCCGCTTCTGGACGGCCTAGGGTAACAGAACCACGGGATGACAGGTTTTTGACTTTGAGAATTTTACGAAACCGGCACCTTACCGTTGTTCAAGCAATTCATCAGCTCGAAGAAGTTCGAGGTGTTCAAATTTCTGATCGTACAGCTCTGAGAAGATTAAATGAGTATGGATTAATGGCTTTTTGTCCAGTAAGAGGACCAGAGTTGACCAGAACTCACAGAGTAACAGGGCTGGCTTTTGCTCGAGAACACAGCCATTGGACTATGGACGAATGGAGTGCTGTACTTTTTACAAGATTCGCTCTTCGATCTCCAGACGGGCGTGAAAGGGTGTGGAGAAGAAGAAACGAAAGATATGCAGCCTGTAATTTTTCCCAGAGCCAACCTTTCCAATGTGGTTCCTTAATGGTGTGGGTTGGGATTTCAATGGAGCGCCGCACAGAATTGGTTGTTGATTATGGATGGTCTTTGACGGCCATTCGCTATGTAGATGAGATTTTGGAACCTCATGTGTTGCCTATCCTCAACGAAATTGGCAATCGTTCTATTCTAATGCACGATAATGTCGCCCGCATAGTGCTGACATGCTTTCAACAGAACAATATTGAGGTTTTAGCCTGGCCAGCACGTTCTCCAAATTTAAACCCCATTGAGCATTTATGGGATAACCTCGGAAGACGAATAAGAGCGCGTGCAACACTTCATGATACACTGCAGGACCTTGAAACGGTTCTTCGGGAGTAATGGACTATCCTCCAGCAAAGGGACATTTCCCGACTGGTGGAAAGTATGCCGAGGCGTCTTCAAGAAGTAGTGAAGGCAAGAGGAGTAAATACGCGCTACTAAAAGATGATGTAATTTATTTCTTTCAGAATAATAATGATAATAATAATTCGTTTTTTAATTTTTTTTTCTCTAATCTTTCTTACCCAATCACATTTTGATTATTAAAGGTAAAAAATATTATAAAATTCCATAAATACTAAGTACTGTCCACAAATACCATGTATTATATGCAAATACAACTTTTTTTACAAGTGGCAGAAATATTTTTAGAAAAAATCAAGTGGGTGGAATTTTTTGCCTGTCAGTGTAAATTCCTCTAATAATATTACATTAACTCTACAAAAATAATAGAATCCATATTTATCTTTAAACAAAATAAAATAGTTATAATACAAAAATAATAGAATCCATATTTATCATTAAACAAAATAAAATAGTTATAAATTATAAAACTGATGCAGCTAAAATAGGAAGCCATTATGCTTATATAATTAACAAATAAAAAATATAAAAATGCTTTGGAATTGAACTCTTTGTTCAAGGTTTGGTTCAGTATCAGAGTAGGCTCTGAGGAATCCACAATATAATGTAAGGTAATACATGCATTATAGAAACTTGCTACATACAAAAAAAAAGTTTAATAATATAACAAATAAAAACATAAAATTATTGCATTTTAGGGATGAATTATGAAAATATAAAAATAAAAAAATTATGACAAACTTTATAAAATAAAATAAGATGATATTAGGATGAGATACTGGTAAGATTAAATATTTCTGTTAATGATGTTAAATGTTATTATAAAAAAATATTGTATTGATAGTATAAAAATAAAAATAACAAAAATATTCTAAATTCTAGTCTGAAGATGAGATAAGAAAGTGGATCCCGAAATGTCATAAAAAAACAAATGTTGGGAGAGTAAATGCTGTTATTAATTCTCACTTATATACCACAGATAAAAGGTTATCCCCTTAATACTAATGAAGAAATTATTAAATTTTATAACCTCATAAAAATCTTATATTGACCTAATCCCCATTAAACATTATCAATTCCTTAGATATTTCACAGTCATTATACTGTTAAGAATTATTTATATTAATTTTAATTATTAAATGAAATTCATACTATGCAATTTCTATAATGTTTTCCAAAGTCTCCCCCCCCCCAAGTTTCAGTCAAATTAAATGAGCTGTTTTCAGACTAATTAATAATATAATAATATATTTACTGATCCGGAAGTTTTTTTTTTTTTAGAGTAGTGGATAGAAATATATAAAATTGGTATTTACTTAATTATCTGTTAACCAATCCCTAACAATGCTCCAAAGTTGAGCCAAATCGAACTTGCGGTTTTAGAGATATAGATGCATCAAGGAAAACACGTTTGCACATATATAACAGAAAGTAGAGGACATATTTCAATGAATTAATAGTGCATTATTTTTTTGTTAATACCTATCTTTTTTCTAACTTTAAGCCGAATCGAACGAGCTGTTTCTGAAATATTGGCATATGAATAAATATACGTTTGTGCGTGCGGCAGCGAAAGCGCTGGATGAAATTGATATAGGACCCGCACAATCCTTGAAAAGTAGATTAATGTTAGTAGGTAATATGCCAGTTGCATCGATTTGGCTACAGGCAGACAGACAGACAAACGCTGAACCAAATTTATCATTGATGTATGAAATGTAAAATGCGATAGGAAATTTTCGATTCTGAACATACAATTTTTTTAATCACTCTCACGAACACAATGCTTTCCTACCTTCGGTAATGAAGAAGCAAAATCATATAAAATAATAATTACTTGTGGAATGACCGCCTGCTTATCCACTGTGCTTTGTTGGGAATAGAAGTTATTTATTTATTTACTATTTTAGAAACAGTTTTAGAAACTATGAAGAGCGTTCAGACATTTCACAAACTATGGGAAATACAAATATCAAAACGGTTTTTTACATACGCAAGTGTTTTGTTTATGTTTTTGATATTTTCCATCTGCTCTCGATAACAAGTGTAATAAAAGAAAATTTTGGCTTAACGCTATTGTCGCTGTCAGTGAAATTTGATAGTTTTGAAATCTCTAAACATACCTTTACTTAATCCCACCTTTATCCGCCAAACACATCAGTTCTTATTATTTCTATTATCAGTAAACAAGTACATGAGTTCTTATCAGTAAGCCTTTTATCGCGATTTAAAATAAATATCTTTTGAACGAATATCATAGAAAACTGGTTTTACCAAAATGTTTCACAAAAATGAGCAATTACGAAAACTAGTGAATATCTTCCATTTATCTGAAGGTGATTAAGTTATTATCTTTTTAAAAACTATATATAAAAGAGCATCCACCTTTCGAGATCACAGTCATGTTTATTTCTCTGTTACTGATCGCTTTATGTGGCTTTCATTCCGGGCACGCCCTATCCATGGATCTCACTGATCAAGATGGACTTCCAGGTGATATAAATATAAGTCCGGATGTCAGGTCGGAACAGCAATTGATTGCTGAGATCGGTAAAAAAATGTTTTTGTTTCACTTTATTAGGTTTATTTAAACATTTTTTTTTCTTTTTGATACAAATATCCATACATATTATTTCACTGACAAAGGGAAGATTATGGACGTGGGGTCACCGATTTCAATGAAGCTTTTTTTGTTGATACTAGGTCTGATATATACAATATATATATATATATATATATATATATATATATATATATATATATATATATATCGGTCAAAAAAGTAAATTATTAAACGATTCGGCCTACTATAAATCCAGCCCTAAACGTATCACCAAAAACAGCTATATACATATATCGGTCAAAAAAGTAAATTATTAAACGATTCGGTGCCCTACTATAAATTCAGCCCTAAACGTAACTGTCAGAAAGATGGTATGAAATTATATTGGAATCAATCGTTTATAACATACCATCTCGTGATTCACAACAGACCTGATATTGCGTTAATTGACGGTAATATTAAATTAGCTGAGACTATAGATATCGCTGTGCCAAATGACGGAAACATTAACTCAGTCTGTGCAGAAAAACTGGGGAAGTATCAAGGTCTAGCAACTGAGTTAAAAAGTTTGTATAAACTTAATAAAGTAACCGTTAGGGGCGTTGTGATCTCCAGCAATGGCCTAATACCGGTGTCTACTGTGGAAGCTACTGACAGGCTGGGTCTCCCAACTCATGTAATAAAGGAAGCTCGGAAAGCGGTGCTGCTGAATACTGCCAGAATTGTAAGAAGCTTTCTCAACATCCAATAAAAATTAAAATAGAACATACCTGAGATGATTGGAATATATTCTCCCCCCCCCCCCATCTCAAGTAACCAAAAAACCTTTTGTAAAAGTGTTGAAAAATAAAATAATAATAATAATTCAGTTCCTCACAAGTGGTTAATACATGTACTAAACATGTACAAAATAGACATTAAAATAGTGGAGCTATTAGAACGTCTAATGAACACTTGGAAGGTGAAATTACACCTGCCTAAATTTAGTCATTCCAATATATGTATACCTATAAATAAAGGAAAGGGAGCGGGGTGGCTCAGTGGTAGGGCACTGAGCTTCCAATGCAAAGGTCCCGAGTTCGAACCCCGGCTCATGGCACAAAATTTATTTATCTGTTTCATTGGCCGTGGGAGTACCTTGGGTCAGGATGCCCTCCTGGGGCACACCCAGCCTCTATAAAGTGGGTACCCTTAATTAAATAATTAATTAGAGGGGGAAAACCTGGCGGTTGAGCGAGTTCTCGGTCAAATCACCTCCTTGCACAACCTTGGACCTAGAAACAGTGCTTTCCCTAAATAGTACTGAACCCCAGATCCTTTATGGGTTGTAGTGGTACAGGTTTTTTTTTTTTTTAAATAAAGGACTACTTCAAAGAGACTCTTTAGGTCTATTACTATTTTGTCTCGCATTAACCTCACTAATTATTAAATGATATATTATTTAGTTATAGACTAGTTATAGATTATATACTATCTATATACTAGTTATAGATTATAGACCCAATAAAAATGGAACCAGACTATCTCATTCTCTATATATAGACGATTTAAAACTGTATTCTAAGAGTGAAGAAGAACTTGAGAACATGATCCAAATAGTTAAATCATTTAGTAATGATTTAACTATTTGGATAGTTACCTACAGATAGATATGACATTGGGAATAGATGAATGTGTTATAATTCATGTTAAAAGGGGCGAAGTAATGAATAAACTAGACTGATTAACTGATTAACAATGCAACAATAAAATCATTAAACAAGTAGGCGTGGTAGCCGAATGGGCTAACGCGTGTGCACAGCACCGCCGTTGCCCGGCAACTTGATATATCAATCAAATGATATAAAAATAGTCACGAGTTCGCGTCCCGGAGCCGAGAGAGTCTTTTAAAACCCCGCGCACATTCCCTGGCCCGGGAAAACCCCCCGTATAGCCTTAACGGTGAGGATGGGGAGGACAAAAAAAAAAAAGAAATATATTCAGTTGGCCGAAGGGACGTGCAACAACAGCTTCTGACTGTGTTCAGAAAGAGATTGCGACAAGTACTCAAGACTCAATTATCTGGGAAGCCAAAAATTAACATTAACACCTGGGTCATACCAGCTCTGAGCTATAGCTTTGGTATAGAACAGTGGACCAATACCAGTCTACAGGAGATTGGAAGAATCAATTCAACATATCACAGCTGGATGTGGAGTACTCGCTGGTACGGATTATTTGTAGAGGCACAACAATGTGACGAAAATATTCCACCGGGCTCTGGCTATGAAACTTGACCTGTTGGATGCAAAGGTGCCATATTATAAATATAATCCGATAAGGCTACTTCAGAAAGGTTCCCTCAAGATGTATTGGGACGAATCTATAATAACGGACCATAGAGTGCGTCACAACAGACCCGATATCCTTATTATAGATTTAGGAGCCAAGAAGGCAAAGTTAGTTGATATTACGATTCCAAACGATAACAACATAAGCACAACCGTGGAAGAGAAGCTCCGTAAGTAACAAGAACTGGCGATCGAATTAAAGCAGTTGTACCATTTGGAAAGCGTATGGCAGTGTTACGGATGAATGGTATGGAATCGGAACCTTTTCCAATTTGCGAAAGGAGTTAGACAGGGAGATAGAAGTCCCCTTCTATTTATAAATGTAATGGATGAAATCCACAAAATTTGTAAATGCCGAACTGCGTGGACAACAATTGGGAAGTGGAATTTGAGAACTATCCTCATACAAAGCCTTCTATAAGCGGATGACATAGTCCTAATAGCCGACACCAAGACCAAACTACAACAAGCTCTGGTAGAATGGGAAGAGGAGTTGCTCAGGAAAGATATGCAAATTAACACCTCCAAGAGTAAAGTGCTGGTTATGGCGAGGGAAGAGCGAGAAGATGTACAGCTGATCTGCAATGGTGAGACACTTGAGGTGGTGACTGAATATACCTACTTGGAGACCGTAATTAGTAGTTCGGGGAAGATAGACCCCGAAATATCAACCAGAATATGTAAGGCGAATCAGGTGTATTACCTGACTACTAATAGCATTATCGGCCATCGCCAAGTAGACAAGAAGACCAAAATGCACGTATATAAGTGTTTACCTACCTACACTCACCTACGGCGGAGAAAGCTGGACAATGCTAGACAGACACTCTAGTCGCATAACGGCAGCAGAAATGAGGTTCCTTCGCACATCTATTAGGAGAACTAGAAGGGATCGCATTAGGAACGAAAGCATTAGAGAGCAACTAGGAGTTACATAACTTAAAACCACTCTAGAAAGACGGCAACTCCAGTGGTTTGGACACGTCTGCCGCATGAATGAGAACTTGAATCCTATAAGGATATTAGAGGCTCGACCCACAGGAAGGAGACCACGCGGCGCCCCAGAATCACATACCAGGAGTATATTCAAAGAATTGGATGTAAAAGAGGCAAAACTCTCAATGAGATGAAGCGGCTAAGCAGGGACCGGGAAGAGTGGTTACGCTGGATTGAGGCTCCTCGACGCTAACTAAAATGGCATAAGAGGAGGACAAAGAAGAGAAGAAGAAAGAAAGTGTATTGGTTACATCAATAATAATATCAACCAATGGTCTAATCCCAAAGTCAACGATGGCAGGTACGGACGGCTTGGAATTATCCCTGGATGTCTTAACAGAGGCTCAGCAAGCGGTTCTCTTGGATACAGTCCAGAATTACGAGAACTTTTTTAAATATCTAAAAAAATTGTAACTACAGGTGGTTGGACTTGTCCCCCACCTTCAGCTTTGAATCCGCAAAAGCGAAAATAAAAAAGATTATTATAATTATGATATAATAATAATGTCTATTTATAATAAATATATATTATATAGAGTATGAGAGTATTATTCATTAATCCACCATAGAACTTGAATCCAACTGTATCCGGATCATTCTTATATTATTTGACCATTTGATGTCCCAGAGCTTCACATTCATTTTTGACACTCTTTTTAGGTTGAAAGAAGTAGTGGTATCATTTTTTTATATTGTTTCTAAGGAATGAAATAGTGATATTAAAATAAATCTATCCTGATCAAAAGAAAAAATATTTCAACGTGAATATAACAAAACGTAACGAATGTTACTGTTTCTAAGAGAGGATGTGAAGTTGTTCATGCTTTGATATCTCATAATCTGTATCCATTAATTCTTAACCATGTGGAGTTTTACTGTTATATGATGTTTTTTTTTTTAATTAAAGATACCTTATTTAGTTGTCTCATATACTTTGATTGTAAAGTAAAAAATCTAGCTTGTCTCCAAAATTTGAGATAAAACATTGTCACGAATGTTACCGGGTTTTCTTATAATACTATTCATTTGTCGCAAGTATCGTTCCGTCTTTGTTAGTTTGTTATGTGCTTATTATCTCAAATCATGTTCTCAGACTTTGTAAACAGTGAGCTTATAAACAATTTAACATTTTTACATTACAATCAGCGAGGTGAGTGACTTTTTATTAACAATTAGCAACATTAAATTGGTGCTCGATTGCTAGAGACAGTTTACGTGGCAGATAATTCCCCTCAGCGGGTCTTATCTTTCAAGTTCACGGTCACGGCGCTTCATTTTAAGTTCAGAATATCTTGAGTTCGTACTTAAGACAGTGTATTTTTTTTTTTTTTTTTTATTTCCTTATTCATTATTTTATTTTATTTTTATTTTTTTACTGAGGCTCTATTTTATTTATTTACAGAAAAAGTTTTTTTTAAATATTTGTATATAGATTAGTGATACTTTTTTTTTCTCTTCTTTCTGCATATATTATTATTTAGAGGTATGGAATCTGATAAGAACATTTCTTTTGACGAATCAGATGAAGAGAGTCCTTTCTCCGAAATCAGTGAGTCGGATTCTCAATATTTAACAAGGCGAACTCTCCAAAAGCGCCATAGAAACTCTGCCCTCGGTTCGGCGGGCAACTCACCTAATAAAAAAAAATCCGCTAAAACAAA